GGAACTAACTAGCTGTAATTTTCCCTTCACTATCCCAGATACAATTTACCTATGAAGTATAGAGTTTATTGTTTTTTTTGTACCGTGACCACTTATTTGTAAGGAAAAAGTTGGGACAAGTGGGCGATAAATAAATCAGGTCATTTAGTAAAAGTACTAAAGAAAGGATACACAGTCAACATTCGGATGCAGTAACAACACAATCTGGATTCTAATGGTGAGTGCAGGTGATAGAACAAAAGTAGCTGTCCTTTTGGTTTATAATATTCAGGTGTGATGAGAGAGAAAGAGAGATAACCAGCAATCCAACCCTGAGACTTGAAGTTGGGATCCACATAAGCCTTTAGTAGTTTGGGTGTATAAATGAGCCGTGCGACAACGGCTTTGTCTACCCCTGCTGATCATTAAGTAGTCGTCATCGGATGATGCTTCTCGAAGTATGCAATGGGTTTTCTCTTTCGAGAATACACGAATCGGTTCGTCAGATTAGGTTGAGTACGTTTTTCCACCACTGATATTTTCTGTTCTCTGAAGAAATGATCATATGGTTTGTTTACAATTTATTTATTTATTGAAGTAAACACATTTTCTTTTATTCCATCTATTCGCTTTTTTCCTGAAGGAAAGTCAAATGTCCCTTGAAGAATTACTCACTCTGTATGGGGTGCCCACTTCTGGATTAAGCATCCAAATCCCGTCAACACAAAACAATAATCGAGCTAGTCGCGCTAGCCGTGCTTCTCACCGTCGTTCCACAGCTTCCACTTCCCATTCGGATAGCGCCACTATCACCGGGGCCACAGAGAACAATGTGATAGGCCCCGTTGACATGCGCGATTCGAGGTCACTCTCGCCGACCGTAAAACGAAGTCGGCGCTCTAATGCATCTCCATCACCCGTCACACCGAATGCAACAGAGACTGTTCCCGATTCGGATCATTCCATTACTAAGAGAAAATCTGTTGGTCCGTCAACCGAGCGTACCAAAGATGGTGGAAAGGATCATCCAGTTACCACAGCAGAGGTTCATGAGTCTGGCGTAAGTCGTTTTCATGCATCATTTGAATTCATTTTGTTACCAATGGATATGGTATTTTTCAGTCACTTCTCCATCTTAAACAAACTGTTTTTCACTAGTCTTCTTGTCTCCTCACGTTGTAGTCGTGGTTGGTCAATTTCAGAATTATTGCCCACGAAACACGGGGTTCAATTCTGCTCTGAAAATCAGGCTGAACGAGAACACTTCTTATAATGCCCTCGAAGAGTTAGCGGTTTATTTTGATCGTGTGTCACAGCTTGCTTACACAATGGTAATGGTGAAAATATGCCTATATCTTTTTATCCAACAGAAAGCATATCGCTTTAAGATGTGACATCCAGTGCACTAGTTGTGCGTAATATCTCCCGCAACCTGTGCTCACCAGCACTCTGGTTTCTGGATTGATCATTCCGAGAATGTTTATTTTGTTAACAATGGCCCTTGGCAATGGTAAGCTGATCCACAAACTAATTTTCATCGTGATCTTTCCGATTTTCTATCTCTTCGAACCCCATACTTGAGCGATTAATTGAATTCTGCTTGTATTTCGTATCCTTAGACCATGGGCAATCTTCAATCCAACGTCCACAAAACCAGGTCACTTCGTATCCACTTTTTGTGAATTTTCACCTATTCCGTTTCACTACTATCATTTATTTCAGTAGGTAAATTATTAAACGCAACAGTTTTGCGACCTGTGTCTAAATCAGAGTGCGAACCAAACATCGACCTCATTCACTGTGTTCCCATTGCGACTTTATCAACGTTTTCGATTGTCAAATAGGGAGAGAAAACAACAGATCACCTCATTTATGATATCCGCTTGACAGTGAATGATCCGTCATTCACAACGTTTAATTTTGTAAGGTGATACTTTTTCTAGCAGCGCTAATTGGTCCAATAGGTTACAGTCACATTCTCCTCTTCTTTTTCTTCTAAAAAGGAGTTCAATACAGTTACGTGAACTTATATAGTCTTACACTACTACCTCTAGTTGTCCGTTTGAAACTTTGAGCTGCGTGGTGTTTTTAACGTTGTCCCGTTTTGCGTGGGTGGG